CCACATTTTCCCTATCCATTTGTCTATTGACCTAAGTGTCCATCAACAAAAGAACTGTCTTTATTTTTTTTTAAGATTTTATTTATTTATTTGAGAAAGAGAGTGAGAGAGCACAAGCCAGGGGAGAGGCAGAGGAAGAGAGAAAGAAGTGGGCTCTCCAAGCAGGGCTCAATCCCAGAACCCCAGGATCATGACCCGAGCCAAAGGCAGATGCCTAAGAAGAAGTATCTTTAAAAGATCAAGGTAGATGCCTCTGGGAAAAGGGATATGGAAAAAAAGGGTTGGAGACTATTTGTCTTTGCTAACTTTGTAGAACTAGCTGATTCTTAAAATTATGTGCACATTTCACTTTCATAAAAATAACAAGCTCACAGAATTTCTAAGTTCATGTAAAATAGTACAAAGAGCAATGGTTTATGGTTAGAACCAGAGACCCAGATCTAAGGACAAGAGGCAGGATATATTATGACTTCCATGGGCCCTCAGCACTTTTGACTTTGTGGGCCCCTCCCACTATAATATCAATATTTAAATTATTTGTTTGGTATAACTTAAAATACTTCAAGATTTTTTTCTTCTTAGGCAAAATTCAATACAATTTCATAGGCTCTTTAAAAATATCATTGACCCTAAGCACTGTGCCTACTAAATAAATCCTCCCTGCAGGAAAAAGAAAGGAGGAAAACACAGATTTATGTTTTCTATATAAGTAACAAAGTTCTCTTTGCTGGGAATCAAAATTTCTAGGTCAGAATGATGGCAAATTAAATGACTTCTTAAACAATAAAGCTTTATTTGCTCTGATCCCAATACCGTTAGTACAAAACCATTTTACACAATGTTTTCTCTTGATTTTTCTAAACTTATTTCATAACAGTAACATCATGTTGGAATACTTGAACCCAGCAGCTTAATGTAAACCAGAATTGAAGTTGTTGGATATATTTTCAATTTTCCATAGGGTTATTCTCAACTACATACAATATTAAAAGGCTTTTATGTCTCCAATTCTCTCTCCATTATTATAAAGTGAACCTGACATTTGCCTTTGAGTTACAATCTTCATACATCCATATGAAGATTATATCATACCTTGTGATCAGCTTAATCATTCCCATTTGAATTGGTTAGGTTGAGATCAACACTTTGTTCCCAAAGATGCAGGTAAAAACTAAGAGAATTGCTTTAAAAATCTTTTCAATAATACCTCGCAGTTGTGCAACTTTATACATTTCTCTGGGTACTTTCTCTTTTCTACTTGGATGTCTTTCTACCATTTCCATTTCAGCATTATCTAGAATGGAACTTCTCTTTAGTATTCTCTCCCTCTCTTGACTTATTCAGTCCATTCAATTGGTACAATTCTGGTCTCTATAGCTTAATCCTAGCTCGAACCTAGTATTCTTGCCTCTCCTCCCCATTCTCAATATGGATTAGTAAGCTCTATTGACTCTTCCTTTGCATTATTTCACACATTAGCATTACCCATTCCCAAACCGATTACCCCGTCTCTTCTCCGTACCCCAACTTCTGTCATGGCCTCCTAATTGGACTCACTCATCCAACTCTTCCTCCTTCAATCCATCCTACACTTTTCCATCACAGCAACTTGTTAGCATGGTGATCATGATGTTCAAAAATCTTCAAGAGCTCGCATTGCCTATGGGATAAAATTGGTCATTTGTGTTTAGTAGCAAACTACTCTCAGTATTCTCAGACTTCTTAATCCACTTTTTGTCAAAAAGTCCTTTGTAGAGCACCCCCATGCCTTTGGTCACGCTGTTCTTTCTTCTGGAATGTCCTCTCGTGGCTTCTCCTTCCCTCTTATTAATGTGGCTCAAGCCCATCTTCTCTTGGAAGCTTTTCCTAAGTACTCATCCCATAATGATTGTGTCCTTTGGAGTCTTAACGTTTTGTTGTCAGTACACTCATTTAAAACATATCATATACTGCTTTTTTATGGTTAGTTATAGCCTCTTTATTTATGTATCTTGTTGCCTGAACAAATTAAAAGCTCCTTGAGGGTCTAGAGTCTGTCTGATCCTAACATGGTATTGGTCACACAGTATGTGTCCATTTAGTAATTAACTAATAAGGGAAAAATATTTTTGGTTGACTTCTTCCATTTCCATGTAGAAAGAGGGCATTGTAAAAATGTGAATGTACTTAATACCACTGAACTGTCCATTTTATATATGTTTTATATATATATAATATATATAATTTTAATTGTAATAAAATATACATAACATGAAATTTACATATATTATATATATCGAAGTTCATGTTTCATTTATCTTCAAATTATATCTAAACTTTTAATGTACTATCTACTTAGTTTATCAAATATGAATGATTTGGAAGAAAACACTGGATTCAACTCTTAGCTCTACCAGAGACCAACTATGTAATGACCTCGGGCAAGTTAACTTTTTTTTTTTAAAAGATCTATCTATTTATTTATTTATTGAGAGACAGAACATGAGGGAGGGAGGAGGAGAGAGAGAGGGAGAAGCAGACTCCCCGCTCAGCGGGGAGCCCTACGAGGGGCTGGATCCCAGAACCCCGGGATCACGACCTGAGCCCAAGTCAGATGCTTAACTGACTGAGCCCAAAGTTCTTAACTTTTAATGCCTCCATCACCTGGTCTGTAAAATGAGTAGATGGATTCACTAGATAATCTCCAAATGCCCAGTTCTATAAGTCTATGACTTTACATCTCTGGAGAGCACACATCATCTCCAGAATTATGGGAGAAAATGGTCTATCTGGCTCTCTTCCCAGATTTGCAAACCAAACCATCTGGAGTGAGTACTACCTATTCTACTCCCCAGCCCTGAGGATTCTAAAAACAGTTTGGGAAACTGATAGCACCTGTGGATCTGGAGGACCGTGCTTCTGCCCCACCCTGGCTGTGCCTCTTTTTTGGGAATTCCAGCCAGACTTGTACTCAACCTGCATCCTGTCCTAGCGGGGCTCACTGGACCCAGGCTCACGGGGCAGGGATAAACCCCTCCCTTAGGTGTGATCTCTTAGCAAGCCTCTACTCCAGCTCTTCCCATGGGGGAGGGTTAGGAAAAGGAGGTTTTTCTTCCCTCAACTACAACGTATCAGGGACAGCTTGAGGAAACAGGTCTCATTCATTAGCTTAGCAAGATTTCGGAGCAGTTTATTAACTTCAAATTTTAAGTGGAGGGACTTATGTCTGTTTTGCAGTTGCAAAATCCTTTCAAATACATATTTAAAAAATTTTCCCACTCTTTGGGGAAGACTACTGTTTTGATGGTTGTCCTTTGAAATTAATTATGGAAGCGGAGTTATTTCATTTGTTTTTTGTTTATAAAAGTAATACCAGTAGGTTTTGTTTGAATTCGCAAAAATCTCTAGTTCATCTTTTGGCTGAGGTTAGTTACAATCACTACAAATCTGTTAATCAAAACGACAATAATATCAACAGTCTTTAAAAGTGCTAGCACCTTGTAAAACCCCAAAGGCTTAATTCATACATGCAAAGCTTGGGGCAAAAGACGAGGGAGGGGGGGATTGTCATCTTAATTTTAGATCACCAGGCCACCCCTGCTTTACTAGGAGTCCTGAACAAAGGGGAAAGACAAATACTTTAGGCCTGACATCACCGGATTCTCAACCAATCTTTGTTTAAAAAAGAGAGAGGAGAGAAAAGAGAATTTCTCGCTGTCATTGTCTTAATAAGTATTTAACTATTGAGTGGCTTACAGATTTCTCTATGGGACTTAAGCTTATTTCTATAATGATTAAATAAAATTGAAACTAAGTAGATGAGGGAAGTTGGACCATATCAAAATTACAAGTTGGAAAGATAAGGTCAGCAAGAAGATTAAAACACAAAAACATATGAATAAATTTTGGCTTATTTCTTGGCCACAATTCTTGTAACAATCCTTGTTTAATTATCACAAAATGTTATTTATTACCAGGCAACTCCTACTAGAACCTTCTGTGAGACCTAGTCCCCAAAGTGGCTCAATCCAGCTGCGCCAGAACCCCACATATTTTGCTTATCTTTCTTAGGCTAATGGTATGGTTTGTTCAATATTAACTTGAGGGGCCATTGCATCAACGGTGCCAAGATTCCCAGGGTTAACTTCTTTAAATTCTAGAAGTCCTCATTGTTCATTTTTCTGTCTTTGTGATTGATTAACTGTCTGGGGTTGGCGAGATGAATAATGTGGTTATTCTGGCATTTCCCTGGACTTGACAGAGATTCGGTGGTTATAATCATTTTTCCGGTTATGTTGGAAAAGAGGTTTTTCTGTTAGTGCCTTTGTTTCTAATACCAGTTGTGTGGTTTTGTGATTATACTGCAGTTTCTTCAAAAAATTTCAATACTACGATGATACTTTTTCCCAAGAATTTCATAACCAACACGTTTTTTCAATATTAAAAGTAATACTGATTTTTTTTTTAACCTAGAAGATTTTCCTAAAAAGGAAACTCAATCCCAGTTTGTTTATCGGTTTCTCTAAAAATTAAGTTTTTCTGTCTTTAACCAACACGCTCAGCCTGCAGGCTGGGCTGGAGGTGGAAAAGGTCACAGAAGAATTCTTCCAAAGGAGAGAGTATAAATGTTTCTACACCCCTTGATGAGTCAGAAACAGAAAACTAGGGGCTGGGTGACAGCTCACACACTAAAGAATTCTAGAAAAGAACATTTCCCTCAGGCTCAATGATTTCAGAGCTATATTTCTCTCCTTGAAGTTGGCCCTTGGTAATAGATGTCAAGAGTGGAGGGTGGGAGGAGAGGGGCAAAACAGAGATCAGGGCTACCGTATTCCTTTTTGGCCATTTTGTCCCATTGTAAGATCATGTGTCTTTATATATATATTTTTTGAGGTGAGGTATGATTGACATACAAAAAAAGCTGTACATATTTAATGTTTACACCTTGGTGAGTTTGAAGATAAGCATACACCCATGAAACTGTCACTATAGGGCACCTGGGTGGCTCAGTTGGTTAAGCAACTGCCTTTGACTCAGGTCATGATCTCGGGGTCCTTGAACTGAGTCCCGCATCGGGCTCCCCCTGCTCAGCGGGAAGCCTACTTCTCCCTCTCCCTCTGCCTGCCACTCCTCCTGCTTGTACTCTCTCTGTCAAATAAATAAATAAAAACTTAAAAAAAAAGAAACTGTCACTATAAACAATGCAATAACCATCACCCATGAAAGTTCCCACCCTCCCTCTTTTTTTTAAAAAAAACTTTAATATAAGATTTACTCTCTTAACCAGTTTTTTTAAGTATACAATACAGTGTGTTAATTATGTGCACTATGCTGTGCAGTGAATCTCTAGGACCTAGTAGTCTTGGGTAACTGAAAGTGTTTGCCCTTTGACTAATATCTTCCCAAGTCCCCCTCCCCATGTATTCTTATTTTTAGTCAGCAACTAAAGTCATCCTTAAGATGAAAGAGTTGAATTCTCTCCTTGTGAGGCTCGTGGTAAACATTTCTTGCAACCTCAGAACTCTTAGGTAAAAAATATTCATTTATATTTATTTCATGACCATTTTAAATAATGAATTTCATATATTCTCATAAAAACAGAAGAGGCTATATATCCTAGAACTCAGGGCACACAATGTGTTTTCATTCCCAGTTCTGCTAGTCACCAGCTGTGACTTCAGGAAAATATTTAGCCTTTTAGTTTCCTTATCTATAAAATAGTGATAGCAATACTTACTAATGATACTTGTAGGGTGTTATGAAGGATCCAGTGAATACATGCATAAAGGCATTTAGCGTAGTTCTGAAAGAATGGCATTCCATAAATCGTTATTATTCTTTAGATTTTCTTCAACAGTGCATGATACATAGTCAGGAAATGTTTGAATACTTTGTTTTTATTATGAGACTGAGCTAAGGCCTTATAAAAATCTTATTTCATTGTTAAACCTTACAAATAGGTGTGATATATATTTTGCAGATAAAGAAATTGAAGCTTAGTGCTATGGACTGAATGTTTATGTCCTCCCAAAATTCCTATGTTGAAACTCTAACTCCCAATGTGATGGAATTTGAAGGTAGAACCTTCGAACATTAATTAGATTTAAAAGAAGCCATAAAGATGAAGCCCCCATGGTGGAATTAGGGCCATTCTAAGAAGAGCGGGAGACCGGGACCCTCTCTCTCTCTCTCTGCAATGTGAGGGTACAACGAGGAGATGGCTTTCTGCAAACCACGAAGAGGCCTCTCCTCGCCCCAGGAACGAAACTGGCTGGCACCTTGATCGTGGACTTCCCGGGCTCCAGATCTGTGAAAAATAGATGTTTGTTGTTGAAGTCAGCCAGTCAATGGTATTTTGTTACAGCAGGCTGAGCTGACTAAGACACTTAGCAAGGCTAAATAAGGTCACCCAAGATCACACAGCTGGTAAGTAGTTGCACCAGAATTTGGCTAAGTGTTTTATGCCAAACCCTGGGCTTTTTCCACAAAAACACCACTGCCACCCAAAGTAAAAGGGACACTACTTGGGTTTCTCTAAACAGAAAGTTCCCCTGAGCCAGCCTGAATCCAGCCAGGACACTTTGCTGTGTTACCACATGAATGTTACTTGACTTTTCTGTGCCTTGCTTTCTTTACCTGTAAAATGGGGATAATAGTAATACTCTATCTCACAGTGTTGTTGAGAGAATTTTATGGAGACGTATGAAATGTTTAGAACAGTGGCTGGAGTGTAGTAAATTTTCTATTATTGTTATTATTACTCTATTTATAACCTTGGGATCAACCCAGATTCCTCTTTGGGAGATGGGAGGAAAGAGCAACAAATACTTTCTTTTCAGCATAGATTGTGAGACTTTACCTAGTACAATACTAGTGCATTCCTTGTGGAATATTAACTTTGTGGTTGCCCAAAACCATCCCTGAGGGATTTTAGAGCAGAACCATACTGGTCCCCAGCAGAATCAGCCACAGAGCTTCTCAAAAACAGACCACAACTCATCTTCCCACCCCTCACCCCACTCTCACCTCCCACCCCCACACCCGGCCACTAATCAGAATCTGCAGGGGTGGGCCAGAAATACCCACTTTTAAGAAGTATCCCACACAATTCAGCTGCGCAGTCTTCTAACCTAGCCCCTTTTAAAATGAAGAAAAAATGAGACCCAGAGAGGTTGCATGATTTTCCCAAAGCTCAGGGCTCTTTCTACCCAAAGTGTTAACATTCACACAGAGGTGCTGCCTGATCATCCCAGGTCCATTGCCAGGACAATTTTTCATCTTTGCCAGCCAAAAGAAGTAGAGACTCATGAGAAATGCTGAACTAGTCTCACAGACCTGCACCCCTCCTCCTGCATACCAGGGCTGTTAGGAAGCTGAGGGAGGCGGCAAGACCTGCGTGGCCAGCGGGCGCCAGAGCTCCTGTCCCCTCCCCCGTGAGCTAGGGTGAGGGATCATGGAGAAAAGGGAACTCACTTGAGCAGGCTTGCATTCTTGGCCTGGCCTAAATTCTATAGGACTCTGCATGTAAACATGTCGTTTATTTTCTATTTGGCTTAGCCCTGGTTTGAAAAATAATCCTAGGTTAGCCTTTTGAAAAGCCTCTTCTCTCTCTTTTGTATTCTTAACCAGATGCGGCCCTCTTTTTTTCTGCTGTTTTGGCTGCTGCTGACATCGGGGGTGAGGCTGAACCCAGGGATCCTGCAGAAGACCCAAGTTGCTCATCTACTTCCTTCCGGACAAGCTTAACTGTGCGCATAGATCCACCAAATGGTTTTCATAGCAAAAATACTATTGACTTGTAAATGGGGCCTTAAAAATCCGCAGAGGCTTTTCTCTGAGAACTCCCAGGTATTTCAAGAAATCTAGACATAAGGGAAAAAGAAAAATCTCTTCAAGGCTCTACTGAAACCATTTGCCAATGTGGTCAAACCACTGCCTTAGCCATTGTTTCAAAACACAGGAACGCAATCTCTTTTTGAGGGCTGCTTCTCTGTACCTCCCAGGCAGGGATAGCTAATAAAATGGGAACAACTGGAGTCGCCAAGAGAAAACCAAAAGAATTGTTATAGATACCTAGTCTTATGCCGTCAGCAGCTAAGCTGGAAACATGCCAGTTGCTAAGAAGGATGCTTCTACATTCCTAAAAAAGGAAGGAAAAAAATTAGTTACAGGGGCTTGTTTCTACTTCTTGATACAGATACTCCCTACGTGGAATCTTTCCTTTGGATTGCCAGGAGCAGGGGGCTGGAGGGCACACCGTCGTTTTTTTTTAACCTGGTGGTTTTTCCTCCTGAAGCCCAGAGGAAAATAGAAATGTTCTCATAGCGAACATCCTGTACTTCGTTTATTGTAACACTCATCAATCTTATAATTGCTTGTTCGATATCTGTCTTCCAATTAGACTATAAATTCCATGAGAGTGACCATATTCTTCTTACTTGCTACTGTGTCTCTGGTAGAGAGCCCTGGCACATAGTTTGACGCTCAATAAATATCTTTTGAACAAAATGCTGAATAAATTACCTAGAAGCCACAGCCTTCCACAAGGGTGATTGGAACTAGTAAGATTTAAATTGCAGATGAAGCCACTATGTGGAGTTGAAGTTGCTGTATGTGGAGTATATAATGGAATTAATTAGATGAAGAGGGCAAATTTCTAGTTTTGAAGACAAAAGCAGAGAAGAAATCTTTCGATTGCATTGAACCTGGTGTGATTACATTAGTCATCATTAAGAATCAAAGAAAAAAACGCCCAATTGCACCTAGGTCTGGCTACCTTAAAATATGTTTCATCTTGGGCTGCTTGGGTGGCTCAGCTGATTGAGCATCTGACTCTTGACCTCAGCTCAGGTCTTAATCTCACGGTCATGAGTTTGGGTTCCTGCATTGGGCTCCATCATGGGCGTAGAGCCTACTTTAAAAAAAAAATGTTTCATTTATTATATAGCACATACTAGTGTTTTAGGTTCAGTTTATTTTAACAAAAAGGGGCTTTAGATTTATTTAAAGGCAATAGTGTAAAAGTAGTCATATTTGCGGTTTAAACTGTATAAATTCTTCAACACAATAAGCATCTCAAAGCCATCTGGGGTAGTATAACATCATTGCTGGTTTTGTTGTTGATAAATAAAGCTCTTGAAAAATAAACTTCTGGGGCGCCTGGGTGGCTCAGTCGGTTAAGCATCTGCCTTCGGCTCAGATCATGATCCCAAGGTCCTGGGATTAAGCCCCAATGGCAGGTTCCCTGCTCAGCGGGCTTCCTGCTTCTCCCTCTCCCTCTGCCCATACCCCTGCTTATGCTCTCTCGCTCTAAGTAAATAAATAAAATATTTTTAAAAAATAAAAAAATAACCTTCTAAGTTAAATATATGAAATGTCTGCAATAATGTCATAAATGCTATATGCTTTAAAAAATTAAGAAAACAATATCATCTCATTGATACAACCTCTTGGGATGAATAGCTATCTGAAGACATCATGATGAAAGCCTAATTGAAAAACAGTTGCAAGTGTATCTCTGTTGAACTTCAATCCTTGGAGGTACTGCCTCTTCTGAAGAAAACTGAGAAAAATGGACTCAGAATTGTAACAGCAGATCAGAATCAAAATTGGAGAGCTATGAAAATGTAAAGGAGACAAATATACTCATATTGACTTTCTAGTTAAGGAATTTTGAATAGACTACACTTAGGAAAAAATCACTTGTAGTAATGTATACCTAAAAATTTAAATATGATCTGTTTTTAGAAAATCTGTAATTTGGCAGCTTTATTGAGGTATAATGACATACAATAAACAGCATATATGTAAAGTGTACAATTTGATGAGTTTTGACATATATTTATATTTGTGAAACCATCACCACAGTCAAGTAAATACATTAGCTTCAAAAGTTTCCTCATGACCCTTGATAATCCCTCCCTCTTGTTCCTTACCCAAGCAAACTGATATGCTTGCTTTATTTTTAAGTAAGCTCTATACGGGGCTTGAACTCACGACCCTGAGATTAAGAGTTGCATGCTCTACTGACTGAGCCAGCCAGGTGCCCCATCTTCCTTTCTTTTTTTAAAGAAAAAATATTTAATTGTGATTAAAAAAATAACATATATTTATTATCTTAAGGATATAACGGATTAAAGCAGAGATTAGTGAAATTGAGAATAGAAAAAAATCAATAAAGCTAAGAGTTGCTTTTTGAAAAGATCAACAAAATTGAGAAATCCTTAGATTCACTAAGAAAAAAAGAGAAAAAAACTCAAATAACTAAAATCAGAAATGAAAGAGGGGGCATTTCTACCAATGCTACGGAAATAAAAAGGATTATAAGAGACTGCTATGAACAATTACATACCAACAAATTGGATAACTTAAAAGATACGGAAAAATTCCTAGAAGCAGACAACCTACGGAGACTGAATCAATAGAAAAAGAAAGTCTGAACAGACCATAACTCCTAAGAAGATTGCATCAGTAAACAAAAACCTCCCAACAGATTCCCCTGGCTCATAGATGTCTGGGCTAGAGCATCAGGAAAAGACTGAAGATTAGATTGTAAGAAAATATAGAAGCCATGTTTCAAAGACCCGAATTACAGGTATTCATCAGTTTGTAAGACATGAGTCTCAAATAGCTAGCAGTTTGGTTCTCAAAAGATCTCTAAATTGTGTACAGTTACTTGGGAAAGTGGGTCAGGGCTCTGTCATGATACAGGTGGAAGGGAAAAAATCCAGCAACAATATTTTCTCTAGCAGAAATGAGATGTGGCGATCAGAGAGGAAAGTGGGGTATACCAAATGGGCAATGTCAGTCAAAAGACAACATGGCACAGAATATCAATATTATGGCCAGGCCTCAGAGACTTGGAGTACCAGTAGGTGAAAAGGGGTCTTTAATCGATGTGCAAGGGAAAGTAGGTTCAGGTGAATGCACAGATAAAAATAATTCCAAGTGACAGGCAATGATCATCATAACAGGTAATACACTTCTGGGTGACCACACAAAAGAGAAAGCAGAGAATGGATTGATTATTCTTCTTTGGCCAATATTTGGTAGTCTCATTTCCAAATCATGTATAGTCTCTCTACTTTCTAAGGACAAGGATTAAAATATATATACCTCCTAACAAAGAAAAGCCCAAGACCAGATAGTGTCACTGGAAAATTCTACCGAATATTTAAGGAAGCATTAACTACAATCCCTCTCAAACTCTTGTAAAGCATTGAAGAGGGAACACATCCAAATTCCTTCTATGAGTATTATGCTGATACCAAAGCCAGATAAAGACACTACAAGAAAACTCCAGACCAATATCCCCAAGGAATACTGATGCAAAAATCCTCAACAAAATACTAGCAAACTGAATTCAATAGCACATTAAAAGGATTATACACAACCACCAAGTAGAATTTATTCCTGGATGGTTCAACTTATGGTCAATAAACATGAAAAAATGCTCAGTATCACTCATCATCAGAGAAATGCAAATCAAAACTACAATGAGATATCATCACATATTCATTAGGATGGCTACTATAAGAAGAAAGAAAGAAAGGGAAAGGAAAGGGAAAAACAAGTGTTGACAGGGATGTGGAAAAGTTGGAGCATTGTTGGTGGGATTTTTAAATGGTGCAACCACCTTGGAAAATAGTATGGCAGTTCCTCATACAATTTTATTTTATTTTATTTTATTTTATTTTATTTTATTTTAGGGAGAGAGAGTGCAAGCAGGGGGAGGGGCAGAGGGAGAAGCAGGCTTCTGCTGAGCAGGGAGCCCAATGTGGGGCTCAGTCCCAGGACCCCAGGATCATGACCTGAGCCAAAGGCAAATGCTTAACCGGCTGAGCCACCCAGGCACCTGCCTAATACTACTTTAATTGCTCATTTAATTAATTACCTTAAATTAATTACTAATTTAATTAGTCATATTATTTTAATTTAAGTAGAATTGCCATATGATTTAGCAATCCCACTTCTGGATATATATCCCAAGGAAATGAAAGCGTGGTCTAGGAGATGTCTGTACCTCCATGTTCATAGTGGCACTATTCACAATAACCAGAGGTGGAAGAAACACAAATGTCATCGGCAGATGAATGGATAAACAAAATGGGGTCTATACATACAAAGGAAACAAATCTTATCACCTGTTACAACATGGATGAATCTTGAGGACATCATGCTAACTAAAATTATCCAGTCACAAAAGGACAAATACTGTATGATTTCAATTATATGAGGTATCTAAAGTAGTCAGATTCATAGAGACAGAAAGTAGAATGCTGGTTGGCAGGGGCAAGGTGGGGAGGGTTGGGGGTGTTGTTCAATGGGTATAGCGTTTCAGTTCTGCAAAATGAAAAGGTTCTGAGGATGTTTCATGGCAACATTATGTACAATATTTCACAACAAAGCAAATATACTTAACACTACTGAACTGTACACTTAAAAATAGTGATGGTGGGGCGCCTGGGTGGCTCAGATGGTTAAGCGTCTGCCTTTGGCTCAGGTCATGATCCCAGGGTCCTGGAATTGAGTCCCACATCAGGCTCCTGGCTCAGCGGGAAGCCTGCTTCTCCCTCTGCCTCTGCCCCTGCTCATGCTCTCTCTCTCTCTGTATCTCCGTATCTCAAAAATAGTGATGGTAAATTCTATGATTTTTTACTACAGTAAAACAAATTCTATAAATACATAAATAAAACTGACCATACCAAGCACTGACAAGAATGTGGAGGGACTGGAATTCTCTTACATGGCTAGTGGGAATATCAAATGGTACAACTCCTTTGGAAAGTTTCTTAAACTCCTTTGGCAGACTTGTATAAGAATGTTCATAGTAGCTTTTATTTCTAATAGTTAAAAGCTAGTAACAATCCAAATATGTATTAACAGTGAATAATCAAATTGTGTATATCCATACAATGAAATACTACTTATGAAATAGGTAAACATTTTAGATTTCATTTGAGTTTTTATTACGTATCAAGCACTGTGTCTAATGCTTTAAACATGTAATCACAACTCTATGAGGTAGGAATCATTGGCCTTATTTTCCAGATGATGAAATGGAGTCTTAGAAAAGTTTGTAACACAGGGTTACATAGCCAAGCTATGCCAAAGCCAGGGCTTAAACTTAGGTCTAGAGAACTATCAAAGATGGAATGCTTAGTCACCACACTGAATTTGTTAAATTCAACAGGAGTAACACACTGATTAGCTGATAGTAAACATCTCAATTGAAGAATTCTTTAGGGAAAAAAAAAAAAGCTCTCTCTGGCTGCTCACCAGTGGTGTTAATGGACATATTGTACAATGGTTCAGAATGTGGGCTTTCAATGTAAACAGCCTATGAGTGAATTCCCATGGCTACCATTTTCTAGTTGTGTGCGCTATTTCATCTCTCTGTTCCCTTAGCTTTAGGGTGGAGATAATAAAGTCAACCTCATTCCCTGCTTGTACTTCAAACAGTTCCTGGCATATAGAAAATACTACCCATCTTTATTTAACTTCTACAATGTAACTGTGAATGCTTCCTATCTCTATTAAGAGGGATAAGATACTTTAAAAAAAACAAAAAACACTTAATTCAACTTAAGGTATTAAAAGTGATTCTGTGTAATGCCCTGGGCTAAGCACCATTGGGGAGCAAAGCTGAGTCAGAGGAGAGAGTCCCTGTCCTCAGGAATTCTGCAGTCTCTTTTTTGTTTGTTTGTTTTTTTAAAGACTTTACTTATTTATTTGACATAGAGAGAGAGAGAACAAGTAGGCAGAGAGGCAGGCAGAGGGAGAGGGAGAAGCAGGCTCCCCGCTGAGCAGGGAGCCGGATGTGGGACTTGATCCAGGACCCTGGGATCATGACCTGAGCCAAAGGC